ACCTCACTAGTGCGCAAGTGCGAGCTCTTCAACATTCTAACAGGCACCATGATAGCGCAAAATCGCGAATCTTCAATGCATATGTAAAGAAATAGACGGTAACCCGAATTTACCACACTCGCAAAATCGCACACAGCCAACCATACACCCAGTATGGTATCGCGATTTGCGATTTTGCGCTATCATACTGGGTGTATGGTCGGCTGTGTGCGATTTTGCGAGTGTGGGCAAATCGCATAACAGCAAAATCGCATAACAGCCGAGCATACAACCAGCAGCGCTGCTGATGCCTGAACGGTATGTGGAATGAAGTGGGCGGGCATCGGGAGGCCACTATGGCATGGGGCAAGCACTATGGGCAGTCTATCTGAAGTGTACCTGGCGTATAAGACAACCCCCCCACTTGGAGGCATATTTTTCAGGGCCAAAAAATCGTCTTATACGCCGGCAAATACGGTAAATATGTTTAGATACTATATAAAGTCTAGAGTTGTAGGTATAGGTAAGCTTTATTTAAACGTTTCAATTGCTTTTGTTGTCACATAGTTTATAGTCAAAGATTTAAAAAGTATATTAGTCAGATCCTAGAGGCCTGCTGTAAAGCAAGTTCCAAGAAAAACATGTTTAAAAGTATGCTTTGCTTGAGATAACATAAATGTAGCTAGTTAAGTATAAAGCAATTGACAGCTTAAACAATAACAAAGTTCACAAAATGTTCAGTTTCTGTCCTCTGCTTTGGAGATTACATCACTGATGCACAATCATGGGATATTTGCAGAATCTTGGTTCCTCAACCTGTTTAGATTACCTGCATACAGTTCTAAGGTTTCAGACAAGATGACATCAGAAACTAAATTAATCAGACTAGAGAAAACCACTGAAGCTTGCACAAGAGTTGTTGGAGACCGGGTGTAAGCTGACACGGTCCTTGCACCTGAAGGGTCTAGCAAGGCTGGGACCCTTACCCACACAGTTTTCCCAGACTTGTTTGGATGGTGGTTATCAGTAGAATGAGAGCAACCTTTGTAGAATGAGAATAGCCTTTCATGGCTTATCAAGAAGTCTGTAACTATTTACTGAGATTTGCTGTATCGAGAATTTGTCCTTCTGCTCTGTCTCTCCCTTAGAGATTAAGAGGAACAAAGAATACATTCCTCTTGACAGACCTCCTATAAAAGGCATTACGTGGTTAATAAACTTACTGCAGTTCCTCGATTGATCTGTAGTCCTCCCGATCCCGCTCTCCTGTCTTTCTTTTCTCAATTCCCACCTCCCTACCTCAGCCCGGTTCAACCTGTCAGGTTGGCCCTGACAAAGAGTTAACCAATCAGCTATACCTGTGATTCCCTAACCCTCAATCTTTGTCTTTAAAAACCCTTGATTGAAAGTGACAGCTTCCCGCCGAACCAGTTTGGTTCAGTGGATAGAGCATCGGCCTGCGGACTCAAGGGTCCCAGGTTCGATTCCGGTCGGGGGCATGTGCCGGGGTTGGGGGCACATCCCCAGTGGGAGATGTGCAGGGGGCAGCTGATCGATGTTTCTCTCTCACTGATGTTTCTGACTCTCTATCCCTCTCTCTTCCTCTCTGTAAAAAATCAAGGGTCCGGTTCGATTCCGGTCGGGGGCATGTGCCTTGGTTGGGGGCACATCCTCACTGGGGGCCGTGCAGGAGGCAGCTGGTCGATGTTCCTCTCGTATCGATGTCTCTAGCTCTCTATCCCTCTCCCTTCTTCTCTGTGGAAAATCAATAAAATATATAAAAAACAAAAAACAACAACAAAAAAAAGTAAGTGACAGCTTCCCATTTCCTTTGCTTGGCACCCTGCAAATAAACAGCTCCAATTTCTCCACTGCAAACCTCGAGATGTTCAGTGTTTGGCTCTACTGCACATTGGGCAGGCACACATCTTCATTCAGTTTGGTTACAGGAGCCTGAACTTGCACCTCCAGCATGGTAATGAGATACTCTTCCACCTCTATGTTGTGCTGGCATCAGAGGAGGCCTATTAGTCAGGACTTTTATTACTGCCTACCAGTAACCTCCTTTCCCTGCCCATGTGCCCACTCCTTAAAAGTGTCAATGAAAAACATATGGAAAGGAGTCAATAGGCACCCATAAACCCTACCAGCCAGGGATGTATCAACAGACGTCTACGGGGAGCCTGAACTTCCATGTTGTCCATAATATGGAGAAGGCTGTCCCGCTGTTTCAGGTGTCACTGAGGCAGAAAATAATATAAGAACAGAAATCAATGGAACTGAAAAGTCAATGAAACAAAAAACTGGTTATTTGAATAAGTCAATAAACTTAACAAGCTTCCAGCAAGACTGACAAGATAAAGGAGAAGATATAAAGGACCAAGAAGGAATGAAAAAGAGTATCACTACAGACCAAAGGACATAAAAAGAGTAAGGAATACTAAGAACATGACTCACATAAATGTAACAATGTAAGTGAAATGAACCAATTCCTCAAAAAGCACAAACTACCACAACTTACCCAATGACATTAACTTGAATACCCCTATAAGTATATGGCAGTTGGTTCTAAACAACTTAAGTGCAAAACTAACAAAACATGTATAGGATTTATATGCTAAAAATTACAAAATACTAATAAAAGAAAACAAAGAAGAACTAAATGAAA